TATGCAAATAAAACAAATTTGATACATGTATACTTTATCTCACTAACCTTAATGAACATGTAATTGTAATCTAAAGGAAACGATTTGTAAATGAGAAAAAAAATAAAACTGAGAGCTAAAAAGGTTTTTCTCTAAGAAGCATGCGTTGTATGTCCTTAGGGCATATTTGCAAGTCAGATGGGAGTCATCCACAGCAAATCCCCGTCACCTTCCTGCACACAAGATGTTTTAGTGCGATATTACCATGTTTATTCCGATATAATGATAGTATAGTGCGGCTATTTTGGAAAACGTTTGCCAAAACACCGTCTCATTATTCATGTTTCCATGTCACGTGTGCGACTGGCTGACAAGCGAGGCTACCAACAATTAAGAATCATAGCCAGATACAAATACAACTTACATCTCGTTTGAAAGCAAATAAGATGCAAATTCTTGCTTTTCAAACTAACTATAGTTTAAAGAGGAAGAGAAATGGAAAAACAATGTACATGTAGCATAATTCCATTGCACCGAAATAGAACAGGTTATAAAGGTCTAATGCAGACCAAGGGAGTTGCCTACAAAATACGTCTTGAATCAATACAAACTCAGAAGAGGAAACGTGATGCAACTGACGCAAGTATGACACCCAACAGAGCGTCTCCAATGGAATTAAACAAACAGTTTTGTTGATCAGCGAGACTTTTTGATAATGAGTGAATCATCAAAGCTAGAAAGCAGGCCCAACTTCCCCAAAGATTCGTTAGAATTAACAAGGGGTTAAGAGGAGTTTAAAATAGGAACACAACAAAATCAAGTACATCGTATATGATTCATTACTTAAACTTTCTTAAGACAAAAAAAATATTTTTGTTTTAATATTTGTTTCGTTTTGAAAGCCATTGGTTTTCATTTGCAACAATTTGATTATTTTTCTAACCACTGTTGATAGATAACGAACCGTTGAACACTGGGGCCAGATCGTATTGCAAACTGTAGAGGGTCCTGTCGTTATTAACAGTACCTTACATACAAAACAATCACGTCTTAACTTAGTTGTCAAACGAAGTCGTCTGTCCAGACAATCCTAAAACAATGCAATCCTAATTTGTTCTGTAGTAGATAATCGACAGTCACATGTGAACCCAATTATTAGTCGAGTCCTGTATGTTACTGCTGTGGAAAGGATACTTATAGATTGTAATTTAAAGGTTTTACGTTTATCACAGATTTTTGGTAGGTAGTGATGTGTACTCACGCGTGTATCTTTGAGTTTTTACACTTGAATGGTCCCAGTTATCTTCTATGAATCAAGCAGTTTCATCACTCGGTCACTCCCTATTATAAAGTTTTGACTGCTATGCGCTGTAAAAATCAGCATTTTTCCTTTCATTTACCTTAAATAAGATCGACGGTCATGAACCTATATAGTACACCTAATTGTCTACAAAACCTACGGAATGACGTCGTTAAGCTATGTCGCACATCTTACCTTCTACTGAACATTATCGAAGTTTTACGAATACAGCCTAGTTATTTTGTTGTTACTGATAAGGGTAATGAGGTTTCGGAGAAACTTTCTTTTTGTAAATGACCTCTACTGACTTTTCTGGTGGAAGTGTTGTATTTCGGATAAATCGCCCTGTCATCAACCGTACATACAACATAGAACGATAGTGCCCCGTTTCGTTGTATTAGACAGATCGTTGTTGACCCTGTATGTACCTGACCTGTTGAACCCATTCACAGTTCAATACACAACAGAAACATTTAAATGTTCTGCTATCAAATAACATTTTTTCAATATATAAAAATAGACATATACAATTTCACGTACGGTATCTGTAAATTTCCATTCCTCAATCGAACCAGGAAGTTTTTTTCTTAAACAATAACAATTGGTAAAAACACAGTAATGCAAGCAGGCTTCATCTATCCATATCAATTGAATATGTATTAATGACGTGACACCTTGAAACTTGTTGGTTGTCTCCATCAAATCAGTAATTTACTGGAACGCAATATAAATCTATTGTTCAGTTAACACATACTCTTATTGCTGTTTTTATTTGCAGCAATGTACACTATCTGTGGTTCAATTTTAAAGGAAATTTCCACAACGAATCTAGGGGTTTATAATTGTAATAGCTCTAACGCCAGAACAAGTTTCGTCACTCTCTTATCAAAGGAAATGAAATGATAAATAGATGTGTGGATGAACACATCTTGAGGGCATGTTTAGTTCAGTAACCCAATACATCCGCTTAATAAAGTAGTCCTATCTGTGACGTCAGAGCTACAATTACTCTTTATTTGTTTACTACAATTCGCAAAATATTGAACTGATGATTATTACTATACTTGATGAATAATATGTTCAATATAGTTATCAAAAAGATAATCAAAATAACAATGGCAGGCAAAACGACGCCATCACGTGACATTTATAGCGCCAAAATACTCAAAGAACTGTGACCGACATCTGATTGTGATAAACAAGGCCAGAAGATACCTACTAAACTGACACATCGAAGGAATTAGATACATATGTGTGTCGTCCTAAATAAGGCGATGCTTCACTGTCTCTCTATTAACATCCGTGATTATAATATTGACCGTTTAGTGACCGGACTATTGCAGAAACCCCTCAACCTACGGCAAATGTCTACATGATTTTAACGCTGTATGTCAATACTCTTATTTCATGACAGACATTTTTTTATCAAGAATTGCATTTTTGGATTTTATCTGCTTTAATAATAATAAAAAAAACTGTCGGTATTGTGTTTTTCCGCAGGTGGTAGGCTCCGTTAACTTGCTGGTTTGTTTTGACGGCCATCTTCTTAAGCATTGTACGATGGTCAGACGTAAAGGTGGTTCTGTGATGGTCATGGTCTGAGGATGGGTGTCATTCCAAGAAAGCCCGTTAAAATTACACAACTTATCGTTCATTTCTCCTAATGCCAGCCTACTCGCCATCCTTTCAACACTCCCTACCTCTATGGCAAGCCAAGTTGTCATTTATTCATGGAGCAATGTTGATCCAGTACTTAACCAAATTATATAAAATATCTGATTTATTATATAAGATATCTTATAAAGTATATAAGATATCTCATAAAGTATATAAGATATCTCATAAAGTATATAAGATATCTTATAAAGTATATAAGATATCTCATAAAGTATATAAGATATCTCATAAAGTATATAAGATATCTTATATAATTTGGTTAAGTACTGGATCAACATTGCTCCATGAATATAGGACATCTTGGCTTGCCATATGCCTCATCCCCTTACCTTCTATGCGCACGTCTCACTATTGTTTACCCCTAAAACCTCTCCCCTTCCCGTTCCCTTATCTCTGTCCCTTCTCTATCCGGTAGAGTAATTCACCAATCAGTTCATATTGCATTGAAGGAACCCCGTACCACTGCCAAAAAACTGTACCTATGTATTGAAAACTGTTTTTTTCGGCATGACTATAGCTTTGATAAATTATTTCTGAAAAGACAACTTTACCTTGCGTGATATTAATGAGATAAAATAAAGATAAATAAACGAAATGTACAATCAACGACAATGTCCTGAGTGTAAAAAAAATCCGTTGGGCTAGATAGGTATTCGAACCCTGAACTTCAGTTTGTTATACCATTACTCTAACCGATTGAGCTAACTGGTCAACGGAAGTGCTCTGAACAAATTGTACTACAGTTATATGCAAACGGAAGTTAATGCGGGGATGTTACTCTTTATAGGAAAAACCACAGTGCATTAAGCAAGATTAACTTTGCGCAACATGTTGTGAGGCGATGTTTTCGAATATACGTGCATTTTAATTCTAAAATCGGTTATCGTGCAATATAACACACATAGTGTACTACCAGTACCGGGGATAAATAGTTTCGACTGTACCATGGGAAGGTTATATACAACTTTACAATATCATGTAGGAACACAAATGTAACATACTTACTTATAGCGTATTTCGCGTGAATTTAAATGACACAGTCTCACTTACAGTTTACGTACTGTTCAACCCTGTGACTATGAAACATGTGTATCGTGTCACGTACTGCAGCAGTAATTTTCCACACCCCTTAATACCTAGAAGACTATCAAGGCTGAGGATTTCCAACGACAAACTGTGTCATTCTAAAATTAGCGTTTTCACTTGTGGCCGACTAAACCAAACAAATTATATACATATTGTTATGCTAGTAACATGATAAGCATACGTGGTATCCGTAATAAACGACATTCCATGGCGTTGAGTAATTTAAAAGTTGTTAAAAGAAATAAGACTTGCACGTGCAACATATAACTCGTCCCCTTACATCAGATTTGCGCGTGTGAAGTTCCTTGTCTCGTCACCTTATACAATGTACCTGAAACGTGAAGCGTTACTTGTATAGTCATGTTGGACCTCCACGTGTAACGTTCCTTGTCTCGTCACGTTATACCTGAAACGTAAAGCGTTACTTGTATCGTCATGTAAGACCTCCACGTGTAACGTTCTTGTCTCGTCACCTTATACCTGAAACGTGAGGCGTTACTTGTATCGTCATGTTAGACCTCCACGTGTAACGTTCCTTGTCTCGTCACCTTATACCTGAAACGTGAAGCGTTACTTGTATCGTCATGTTAGCCCCCCACGTGTAATGTTACTTGTCTAGTTACATAAGACCTACACGTGTAGCCTTACTTGTTTTGTTATAATAGTCCAACACGTGTAACGTTACTTTTCTCGTTACATTAGACCTTGTACTTGTTATGGTTCGTTATACTAATTCGAGTTTTGCTTTGTGTTTTTACTTAGAGCAGGGATATGTTAGATTTAGATTAAAGGATTATGTTGAATTAAAGTCAGAAAGTGAATGACTTTTGCCCCACACTGCTTTTGCACATTTCAATCGGATTAACGGTTTAGGCGTACAATTCTAGTGTGATAGAGTCAAACAGTGCTTAACATAAGTCAAGGGGTCTCAGCAGGGCGTTGCACCTGGAACTGGTTCTCTGATAAGCATGTATAAAGAATGTTGCCGTATAGCTTGGTCACGAATAAATAATTAACACGTAAATTGAGCCAGTTCTTTATTTATGTCTGACAGCTTTCATTTCAGTCATCTAAAAACTGCGTATATTTTCCAGCTACACACCTAACCACACAGGCATTCAGCTATGAGATGTGCAGTTTATATGCGTAAAACGAAAGTTTATATTTCGTAACCATGTCAGTTTGTTATCAGTTATTGCAGAGTATTACCAACGGGTTCACATGTCTTCATTAATCACGTGTCCCAGTACACGAGACAAAACACATAGTTGAGTCACCACTGCATTCGTTACGTATACTCCTCTACATTTTTAAGATTAGCTTGTTTCGACTGACAACATCATGTTATATTGCACTAGTAGGTAAAACGCATGATTATTTTTGCGATGCATCACTGTGTCGTAGACCAGTAATTTAAGTATTTTAAAAATCAGGGATGACGTCCATTTTTTAATGTCAGGTAGTTAAATCATAAAGAGGGGGCGCTGATGGTTCTGGCGGTATATAATCTGTTGTACAGTCCTCGAAATCAAGTCTCCATTGTGACTGATACGGGGGCGGTGTGTCGTTTATTTGAGTCCTTTTATCTGTACATGTCCCACCATGCACCACGGCTGTGCTGACGCCACTGGAATATGGCGGAGTACTCAGGTAAAACTGCTGCGCGTCTATTTGTGACGACAACGATTCCATAAAATCGCTAAGTCTCGAAGGGATGTCCGGATCAACTGATACAAGGAATGGGTTTTGAATCACTGGTTTTGGCCACTGGGAACAAAGGTTCGTACATTCATGAGTTGCAAAGAAGTTCAATATCGCCCTCTCCCCGATATCGTCTGGTCCATATTTCATCCCCACAGAATTCATGGACGGTGATGTAAGTTTGAACTTTTTACCTTGATTTAATGCCACTCCCTTCAGTCCCGTCACAATTTCTTGCCCTTTCGACTCGTTGTAAACGAAATGGACGAACTCCTGCAGTTTACCACGACAGTTTGTGTTCACCGTTCCGTCGCGTTCGATGAAAGTTTCGAAGTTTTTCCCGAGATATTTTTCGAATACTACCACATCATCATCGCGCAGACGGCGTTTATGACGTTTGTCGCTAGAACGGATGCGTCGGGAAAACAGTGATATCTGGTCCATTTCCGCCGAAAAAAGATCTAGAAAAGTTATCATTTTTCTTCTGTTTTTCCGCAAGTACATTTGGACGATTTCTTTACTTTCAATGTAGTGTAAACAGCGTCGATACGATGAGTGCCAGTCATTTGCGGTTTTCTCTCTGAAAACTTTAATCACGTGACCTTCTGCTAGTGCCTGTGTTATAATACCTCTGAAAGCTACTAGTCTCTGACCGGAACTAAATGGCAATATATCAAATACAGCACATGGACCATTTTTGGAGTTGAAAGTTTCATTCTCGAACACGGTGCCAAGTTTGCTACCCATCTATGAATGATTAAGTCTGAAAAGATAAAAAAAAAAATCCTTTAAATAGGTATCAATAAAAATATGCAAAGGGATGCTGATTTTCAAACGGAAGAAATATATATATTATTTATATATTTACATTTTTGCAAAGATTGAATAATTGTTCTTTATATCAGCAATATTTCCTTTGCATGCTCTTATGCCCATACTGATTGTTTTCAAATGGATGTGTTTCATTTCCTCCGAAATAAGATCTAGAAAAGTAAATCCATTAATCCATAATATCATTTCTTGGTTGACTTATACGCTATGAAAACATTTCTGATGAAACTAGAACCGTCGACCGACGGTAGCACTTGCGCCAAAGTTAGAGAGTTAATAGGACACAGAATTGAGACTATATTCACATACAGATGTAGAAAATTCACACAGTGATATTTATACCATGGCAAAAGTGGAAATTCTCGCATATGAAAATTTTCGCGTTGTGTTTGACACTTTTAACTGATCGCGGTGTAAATTTGTGTGTTGGTAATGGTTTCGAATCTAAATAGACTGACCGCTCAGCCTTTCTGTCTTCTTGGGCTTCCTCAGACGTTTGGATATATTCGCGCTGATGTACTCAACAGCGAAATTGCAAGCATTTTGACACAGCCAAATTTCCACTTTTACAGTAGTACATATATATTCATATCCACTTATAGATATATTCATATAGTGATATCAATAAATATATATTCACATACTTTTTTTAAATTTATTTTTTATTCATTTTCATTTATTTTTTTACATGACATGACACAACACATATGGTATATGATTGTTGGTTAAGCTCTTAAAGCTTAATAGTTGTTGCTAACTAATTCACTATGAATAAATAGTTAAGCATGTACCTATATACATAGACAAAAAATAATTCACATTTGGACACACCTACACTTACAGTTATATACCCACACAAATTAATATATAAATAAATGGTATTCGTGACATAAGGTATACAGACAAAAATCAAATGCACACAAAAGACAAAGGACAAGACATGTGGGACAAAGCAAGGACAGGGGAAACCTAGGTCAGAAAGATGTTAAATTTAATTTATTTCAAATTTTAAATGTGCAACCAGTGATGTATCTGTGTGTTAATCTGTATTTTATTTTTAATGTTACTTTTGGATTTTAGAATTTAGTAAGCTTTTAATTCGAATTTGATATGATTTTTTAGACCATTCAGATTGAGTTCTATTTCAAGGCATTTTGATTTATATGTGTATTGTTTTACCGTGAGCAATATCAAGTTATTCAAGTTGAACTTTGTATATTTATTAATTTGCTTGCCAAAGATAAATTCTTTTTTTATTAAATCGAAGACCAAAACTTGTTGCAATAATAGTAATTCTTATATTTTCTATCAAATTATATACCTTTTTCACAATCCCATAATATATGTGTTATTGTTTCTGGATGAGTTTTTACAAAAAATGCACATATTATTATCTAATTTACCTATTTGAAATAAAAATGTGTTTGTGGTTAGGATTCTATGATTTATTCTGAATAGTAACTATTGTAGTTTGGAACTGGTACAGGTATTGAAAGGTTATTTGTATATATTTTTCCACGTATCTTCATCAATATTGAAGTTTTGATTCCATTTATTTTGAGCGGCAGGTTTAACTTCATTTTTGATTAATATGGTATATATTTCACGAGCTCCTTTCTTACATCTTAGGATTAACTTGAGATTTATGGGTATACTTGGTAGCATAATATTATTTTCTGAATCGAAAGCTTGGAGGTTCTTCCTTATAAACTGACCTATAACATTTTTCAGACTCTGATAACTTAAACAATTAGCACGAATGTTAATTTTTTCACAAAATTCTTCTAAGCTGTATAAAGATCATCTTTTTTATAATGTTGTGGATAAAATGAACACCTTTTTGTACCATTTATTATTGAAGATAACTTTTCGATCTACTTTTATTTCACTGTTAAACCATATTGGATTTTCACTAATATTTGTTTTGTATATTTTGCTTGCATTGATAGTTTTATTCCAGGCATCTAAAACATCTTTCCGAAATACATTTTTACAATTTTTTGATATTTCTTTCAATTTCTCAATTCCAATATTTGCTCATTTCTGTTTATCAAATAACGATTCCACNCTATGTGGCCAGAAGCAAACTGGGATGAAGAGCTTCAAGGTCACAGGGGTCAAATATGTTAAAAACTTATTTGTGTTATTTGGACAGTAGCATGCTTGGATGAAGGGCTGCCAAGTTTGTTCAAAAGAATGACCTTCAATTATATTCAAGGTCAAAGGGGTCAATTGTCTTAAAAAACCTTTAAACAACTTCTTCTGAATAACCAAAATGCCCAGGGTGATGATATTTGGCCAGTAGCATGCTGAGATGAAGGGCTACAAAGTTTTTTTAAATGAATTACCTTCGCCCATATTAAAAGTCACAGGGGTCAAATATCTTAAAAACTTTAAACAACTTCTTCTCAATAACCAAAATGCCCAGGGTGATGATATTTGGCCATTAGCATGCTGAGATGAAGGGCTACAAAGTTTATTCAAATAAATGACCTTCACCCATATTCAAGGTCACAGGGGTCAAATATGTTTAAAACTTTTAACAACTTCTTCTCGATAACCAAAATGCCCCGGGTGATGATAGGTTGCCAGTAGCATGCTGGGGTTAAGGGCTATCAAGTTTATTCAAATGAATGACCTTCGCCTATATTCAGGGTCACAGGGGTCAAATATGTTAAAACATTAAACAACTTCTTCTAAATAACCTAAATGCACAGGGTAATGATATTTGGTCAGTAGCATGCAGGGGTAAAGGGCTATCAAGTTTGTTCAAATGAATGATCTTCACCCATATTCAAGGTCACAGGGGTCAAATATGTTAAAAACTTCAAACAACTTCTTCTGAATAACCAAAAATGCCCAGGGTAATGATATTTAGTCAGTAGCATACTAGGATCAAGGGCTACCAAGTTTGTTTAAATGTATGACCTTGAATCATATTCAAGGTCACAAGGAGCAAATATGCTAAATACTTCAAACATCTTGTTCTGAATAACCAAAAGGCCCAGGATGTTGATATTTAGTCAGTAGCATGCTGGGATAAAGGACTACTAGGTTTGTTAAAGTGAATGACTTTGACTTATATTCAAGGTCACAGGGGTCAAATTTGTTTAAAATCTTTAAACGACCTGTTCTGAATAACCATGGGTCCCAGGATGTTGATACTTTGCAAGTTGCCTCCTGAGATGAAAGGCTATAAAATTTGTTCAACATAATGACTTTGTTCGACTTTCAATCATAGGGGTGAAATGTTTTTTAAAAAAAAAAAGGTTCTTTAGAATGAATTTTAATCATAAATACTGATATTTTATTTTGCCTGTAGCTTTATTTTAGAACACTTTCAAGGTTACAAGTGTGAGATTTATACCAGGTGAGCGATGCAGGCCCATTGGGCCTCTTGTTTTTATAATTATATATCTTGTAACCTGACCTGGTTTACTATTCCATAGAAAATTGTACAATGTATTGTTAATTTGTTTAATATATAAGTCACATGATATGGAAGCGATATAAACAAATGATTAAACTGTAATATTAGTAGAGTTTTGATTACAACTATATTACCTATTGGTGTAAGTATTCTTTTGTTCCAGACAGATATTAAAGACTTCAGTTTTGCAAGCTTTTTGTCAAAATTCAGTTTGATAATTATGTGTAGGTCTACATCATATTCTATGCCTAATAGGGTGAAGCATGTACTTCCCTATTTTAAGTCAAAAGTTGTAGTAAAAGTATTTTCAGCGTATTTTTTGCTGCCAATCACTACTACTTGGGTCTTGGAGAAGTTCATTTTTAGTCCAGAAATACTAGCAAAATAGTTAAGAGCTTTTAATGTTCCCTCTTTTAAGTCAAAATTTGTAGTAAAAGTATTTTCACCGTAATTTTTGCTGCCAATCCATATACTTGGGTCTTGGAGAAGTTCATTTTTAGTCCAGAAATACTAGCAAAATAGTTAAGAGCTTTTAATGTTTCATCTAAAGATTTTTTTGAACTATTTAGAATAACAGACGTGTCATCAGCAAATTGTGATAAGAGGATTCCTTTTCCCTGATAAGTATTCCTTTGATATTTTTTAGAATTATTGATAGAATTTCAGCACATAAAATGAAAATATATGAAGATATCGGATCCCCCTGACGACAGCCCCGTTCCATATTGAAAATTGTTGATAGATTCCCCCCTATATTTACTGCTGTGTGTGTATTATCCTAAAAAGTTGTATCCATTTCATAATGTTCGGGCCAAAATTAAAATACTTCAAAGTTTTATTGAAAAAATTCCACGACACAGAGTCGAACGCTTTTTCAAAATCAATTAAAAGTAATAGTCCACATACTGGTTAATTGTATATTAACGTGTATATGAGTACTTACTCTATGCGAACGGTAACGCCAAAGTCCAAAATCTTCAGGGTCGCATATGTAGTTACAAATACGTTGAAAAATAAATGTATAAACTACAACATTCTCCGGTTTAATGTAGTCCAAACATAACCTGACATCGTTCCCCGATTGCCATAATGATCTCAAATAGAACTTTCCCAAAAACAAAATCCTCAAGTTATATTAAGATATACGTAAGTCATGCAATTTACATGGAAAAAAACCAGGCTGGGTATCCGGAAGTAAAAAGTCGTGTACTGTGATAATAATATGTCGGTGACCTCAGTCATGGTAGAAGGTAGAGTTTTCTTGGTCTATTGAACATTTATGGGGTTTTAACTTTAATTACAAGTAACTGGCGCTCTATCAACATTACACCTACAGTGTATTTTCTGTACGATAACATGATACCTCGTCAATGATAGTGTATACTTCACTGTGTGCTGAATTCTGACTTTGGGTTAATAGTTGAATGCCGACAACAAAACATCTAGTAGGTTCATGACAATATTACACAAAAAGCTATCTACATAAATTATCAAGAATATACACATGCGCATCCATGTTATTCAGACATCAACGGTCTAACGACACAGTGCGCTCCGAAATCGCACTATCATGAACTACAGTGTAAGATATCTTGCTTATTTCTTATATCCTTGGTATTGAACCGCACCATGTAGCAGAGTCAAACACATTTTGGATTAACCTGTAGGATTGGTTTAGCTTGGTCACATAATACTGACAATTGGTGAAACAGTTGTTGCCATTCCCCTAAATGCTGAACGTTAAGCAGGGAATAGCAACTACCACTTTTAAGGTCTTTGGTATGTTCCGCCCTGCGGACAGAACCCATTGCCTTCCTCACCTGGGCGAACGCTCAACATTAAGGCCAAAAGTGAGGTGTTGCCAAGCAAGGCGCTAGGAAAAAAAAGGTAGTTAGAAGTAGAAAGAAAGATAAAGATCCCAAATATTGCAATGGGTGCAGTAGATTCATTTTGGTCGCTTTTGTGTCCCCAAATAGAGGACACCAATGCAAATCCCCAATTCTGCAGGGGGTTCGCCCATTAGTCGCCTCCTGCAGTGGGTAACAGCAGGTGTATTCTTTTTTCAATGCTCTACCTGCAGGAGTGAACCTGAAGGAAATGTTTTCGCAATATCTGCAACGATTCACCCCTGTTTGAATTTAATTGTGACGTAGTAAAAGAAACAAACAAACAAACAAAAAATAATGATGTGACCTGAAATGGAATCTACCTTTTATTATTCCAAAAAACTCGAGGCAATGGAAAAATTCATAGCATGTAACACACAAAACAATAACAGAATAATCTTCCATGACCCTGAACAGCTCAGCAATGCAAGCTCAAACAAAGCGTATACAGTATGAAGTTGTTCTGACCAACTTCCATAACATGCAGATTTATAACATTAGTACATACATCCTAAATAATGAGGCTAATGATGCATAGTAATGAAGCGGCGTGTACATACAGATAGTTGTATAACACACTTTTAACACCTTGCTATAGTGATACAGCCAATGCGACATAACACGCTAAACAAAACATGCGGACCTATTGTTTTTAATATCTTCCCGTTACGGCCGCGACAGTCATGGCCATACCTCGAGTAGGTCCTCTTTGTAAGATATCTCTTGAATTCAACAAATGTCTTTTTATAACACAGTTCTGGAACACGACAACAATCTACCTATTATATAGAGTTACAACATCAAACACATAGTTCTAAAGCACACCAAGTGTTGTATCCGGGCCATCACAGGCCCCAGAGGCTCACATTCATCGAATCCCCGTCTCTCAACTCATGACCCCAAACTGCAAACTCTCAGACTACCTTTGAAATTATTCCCAGGTACTTTTAACAATCTATACAAAATTAACTATTCATGAGTAGGTCACACCTATTGTACATAAGTAATGAAGCACGTGCAGTACTTTAATCTTCCAAAACAACAATGCTAGATGTACCATGTGGCAATGACAGTTACCTTGTCTGTTTTTGGAAGTTCTCCCTCTCGTTTCTATCTCTATGTCATCCATGGCGAAACCTGGTCGCCACTAGATGGATAGCCCTATAGCACTACTTACAATTCAACAGCCCCCCTAGCCCTATCAGTCACTGCACGTTTTTACCAAAATCGTTGATTTTACCTCAGATGTCCTTTTGACCAAAGCAATACTCTCTATTGATACCCACTATCTTGCTTGGTATAAATTGGTTCTATTTTTGCTCATTAAATACCTAATTTTCAGCCCATTTTGTTCCACCAGTTGTATTGTATAGCTACCGAATCTTACTATAGTCATACTTACATATCTGGCAACGCTTACAATACCGATACAGCCGATTTACTTGTTATGAAGTAAAAGACTCCTTTATGCATCATTTGCAATACCATTATATTGTATCAACCTTGACGTCGACAGCCTGTTGTGACGGGAATTCATCGGATATTATTCCAGACATTTTAGTGCAATTTGTTTTGGTATGGAGACATGACGTCATTGTTCCGTCCTCAACGTAGTTTGTCTATTGTAAACTAAACAATAATACCGGACAATAAAAAGCAATGGATTACAAAAAATAGGAAAATGTAATATACATCAACAGTTGGTATAAAATCGAAGAAAAAAGGCACAATTGTTTTAACTCGCGTCATAAGTAGGTAGCACGGCGATTTATTTTGGACCTTATTAGACATAGGCCAATACGCTAAACACAAAAAAATGTATATATTATACAATTCGTATCCAGTAAAAGAAAATGATAACGAGGCTATATAGGATGTAACAAATCCAGTAACACACCTGTACATTGTGAAAGAAAGTGTTTAAAATCACAATGCATTAACATCTGAACCAGTCAGTCACCAGGGAACCGAACTGTCCAGTTGGACAAGGTTTCCTGTATATAATGTCCGGTTTTCTTTAGTTTACCATATCTATCACGTGGTGAGCTAGCCCGTTTCTGTATCCGATTTCGTACTGGAGGCGATACATAACTGGGCCAAGTAGTAAGTCGTCAACACAATAAACTCGTTCAAAGGAATATGCAGATTCCATTTAGAAGTTGCAATGCAGCGTCAGAGAACATTAAGGAGAGGTAGCCAATACAAGCAAGCAAGGAGGCAAACGTCATATCCTGTTCGTACCGCGCCTGCGCCCTCCAGCCCACGGTACAGATCACTGACAGGTAGACAAGAACCCACCTGTCGACAGCATCAGTGATAAAGAGAGAGACGCTGACCCCTCCTAGGGCATACACATACTATGTGTTACTTTCTGGCATATTGTTTGCTCCAAAGGCAAGTAGGTAACAGACATGCGCAATCAAAAAAGCTAACATGCCTGGAATGGAAAAAAAATGTTGCTCATCACTAGAAAAGTGTCCCCAACACTCGACATCAACAATCCCATTGTCACAAAATCTGAGTAACCTTCCTTTGAAATGACGTTAGATTTTTGAAACCCGGAATTTTGTCTGACAAAGTAGACAATACTCCATACTGGAAGTACTTTGAGAAACACCAGTGTGTCGGGTGGGAAGCTCAGGAATGGGAAGAATGCAATGTAGAACAGCGCCACCAGGGCATAAAAGGGGAATAACCGTCGATCCCGTGCAAGTCTGCTTATCTCTTCTTAAAAAAAGTTGAAGAGTATCTACAAAAACAAAGTTAAAGAAAGATGAAAGATTTCAAAAAAGAATATCTCGATATAATATCTATATTTCATTTATTTAATTAACTATAAATACTGCTAGTCAAACAATTGCAGTGTTTTATGAAGTATTTTCTCTAGATCAGAACTTTTAAAGACTCCATACGAGGTACGTGCACAATTCTTGAATTTCACATCTAGATATATAGCAATATGAATAATATGTTCTAGCTTTGTATATAACCTATGGATCTTACATCATCTCAGTTCGAAACTGTAAGCGAACGCGGTCACTTCTAATGTCACGAAAGTTAATGTTACATTAAGCAGAGTAATCTCCCCCTGTTCATACCGTTTACATGTCATACCAGTTCATTCATTGATCAAGACAGTGTTTTTTCCGGATAGATGCGTCCTTCTCGACCAATAAACTACTTATCCCGGGTTTTCTGTAAGAACAACTTCAATCCACCTACAAAGTTTACAGCTGTCTATATGACATGCTTTCTTTATATGAGGATTCACTGTTTAGAAAGATGAACGTGACACACACACGATTGCACCTTTAAAATTTGGTAATAGATACAGTTTGCTAAAAATGAATTACACGGCATCATACAGCTGTTTTATCCTTCTAGGGGCCAAGTTGGAAGTCCACATTGGTCTAAATTACTGTTGAGACATAGAAGGGTGGGTGGGACTGTTAGCCTGCAACCCTTTAATTTATAAATTTCAAATATTAGCGGTATGTACAATAATCACAGACTTGTGCACTGTACCCTACTGTATGTTGGTGACCTGACTGACCTACATTTTGATCGATGACCTACAAATAATTGCTTGATGACCTACATACTCGATGAGTGGCCTAAATACTTGCTTGATGACCTACTTATTTACTGAGTGACCTAAGCACTTGCTCAGTGGCTTAAATACTTGCTGATTTGACGAGGGAAGCGATGACGGGTCCCACAAGTGGTTCAGAAAACCCTTCTACTTCCATAATACCTTAATTTTGTTTCCGAGTTTGAGTGAGTCCGATATTTGTTTAGTGCAATTTGTCATCAGGTCTTCATGTTATTGTTGAATCCGTCCTGACATTGTCGTTATTGTTATAACACTTCGTTCGTTTTTGTATACTTCAACCTGTTTCGATGTAACAATATGATGCTAAAGATGCTTTTGAAAAGTTTGAAAAAGATTTTACCAGCGATAAGTCATAGGAACCTTTACTCACGTGGAGCTGGTTCCATGTTCCAATTATGCTTGGCTCGCTCCAGAGTACAAGTACATTACTGTGTTAGAGCTTTTGTGGCACACAGATTATAAGTTTGGGGAATAAGCTCAAACATGCATCAACAGCATCAGCAACAAATCTTCTTTTTCGACATTAAATTATTTCCACTTAGACATCCACTCTGTATCCCCGTAATAATACATGTACACCACATTACACTTGTTTCTATGCTATTTGTACTTATTC